AAATCAACTATTAAAAAAAGTGTCTGTCTTTATTTAAATAGCATCTTCTCTAAGACAATAAAAAATCACTTAAGTCTACAATCTCCTATTTGTAACTGAGAAAACAAATGGTCACAAATAATACAACTGTCCTTGGTCATTGGGAAGTGATTGTCATAATATTAGTTTGTTAATCAACAGATTATCCTCACTGCACATAAGTCCATAAGCGCTCAGATCTGATCTTCAGTATATCCATCAGCATGTGGTGACTGATAACAACAGTTCTGTGTTGGTTTACTATTCTTCTTTTGCTACCTGTATAGTTTTCATGTTTGGCAATACCTCTTTTGACCTGAAGTTCTTGTAGTCTTTTGAGTGCTGTCGATTCAAGGTCATCTTCTGAATCATCTTCCTGTCCTGCCTCCCTGAAAGCAAAGAGAATGTTGGCCCGGTCCATTTTCTTGTACCTATCGTGGGCCTGCCAGCAAGCTGATCTGCACATTCATTACCTCTTACCCCAGAGTGACCTGGCACACAAATGAAACTAATTCCTTTCAGACAAGATTTTCTTAGCAACTTCAGCCATATTCTTCGCATCCAACCTGTCTCTGACCTCTCAAGCATGCTCACAGAATCACTTAGAAAGCACGTGTAGGAAAATGCTGTATCTCTAGCAACATCACTGCTTTTGTTACCGCCATCACCTCCATAGTCAGACTACTTGTAGTCCAGGTAAAAGACCCGCTGTCGTCTTTTACAGTTTTTCCTTGAACCAGAACTGTGAAAGCCCATGAACTTTGTAGATAACTGAACCTGCCTCAGTGATTGTCATAAAAAAATGGGTAAATAACATCCCACACAACACCTCTTCATGAATTATGAATGAAATACATTTGCTTGTGAAAGAGGAGTGACTGAAGGGGCCGATGAGGCATGTGTGCCCAATTTGTGACTATGATTAAAAAAGTTTGCTTATTCATTTTGCATTTTCCTCTTTATTTTTGATCTTTTAGTCAGCCACTAAGCCAATGGTTTTCAACCTTCTTAATGCCACTATTCTTTGATTCAGTTCCTCATGTTGTGGGGACCCTTTAATACAGTTCCTTATGTTATGGCCACCCTTTAATACAGTTCCTCATGTTGTGGCCACCCTTTAATACAGTTCCTCATGTTATGGGGACCCTTTAATACAGTTCCTTATGTTATGGCCACCCTTTAATACAGTTCCTCATGTTGTGGCCACCCTTTAATACAGTTCCTCATGTTGTGGCCACCATTTAATACAGTTCCTTATGTTGTGGCAACCCTTTAATACAGTTCCTCATATTGTGGCAACCCTTTAATACAGTTCCTTCATGTTGTGGCAACCCTTTAATACAGTTCCTCATGTTGTGGCCACACTTTAATACAGTTCCTCATGTTGTGGCAACCCTTTAATACAGTTCCTCATGTTGTGGCAACCCATTAATACAGTTCCTCATGTTGTGGCCACACTTTAATACAGATCCTCACGTTGTGGCCACCCTTTAATACAGTTCCTCATGTTGTGGCCACCCTTCAATACAGTTCCCTAACACGATTGCGTGACATGGGAGTTAAGCATGGTGATGCACGTCTTTGCCGTCTTCGAGGCCGAGAAAGGAGACGATATAACCAGCTTCTTATGGGGACAATTAGTAGAAGTACTTTGGAGTGGCTGCTGCTTCGGAGAACTGAGCACGCATGGGTATGCCCAATGTGCAGTGACATCAATTGTGATAACAAAACATAAAATAACATCTTAGTAGGGAGTCTGAAACCCAAGTTCAAGGTGTCTCCTTCGTGCCAAAGAACGGCATGGCTGTTAGGTGAACAGTCGTTAACGATGGCAAGCAGGTCGTTGTAGGGGCAACGCCTGCTGGTGGATGTAATGTCCTAAGTTCCTTCCCCAGATAATAATGAGGGTACTGCTGGGGTGACCGTTTATTAACCCTCATATAATTCTTCTGGTCAAAATGGACGCTAGGCACGGCTACCTTTTTTTTTTTTTTTTAAGCCGTGGCTGCCAGACGGTGGCCGTTGCATTTTTGCTCCATATGTAGACTGGAAGGATGTAGTTTCGTCACCCAGCTTCTGAGTTGAGTGCATGGCGTGACACTGTGAGATGCGTTTGTTTTTCGTTGGCACAGGAGCGGGGCAACTGTGGGGTGACCCTTTTGCTCTGAAGCTGAAACTAGGATTACCAGATTACAGTTCCCTCATGTTGTGGCAACCCTTTAATACAGTTCCTCATGTTGTGGCCACACTTAAATATGGTTCCTCATGTTGTGGCCACCCTTTAATACAGTTCCCTGTGTTGTGGCCACCCTTTAATACAGTTCCCTGTGTTGTGGCCACCCTTTAATACAGTTCCTCAAGTTATGGCCACCCTTTATTACAGTTCCTCATATTGTGGCCACCCCCAACCATAAAATTATTTTCATTGCTACTTCATAACTTCAATGAATATGCATTTTCTGATGGTCTTAGGTGATCCCTGTGAAAGGGTCGCAACCCACAGGTTGAGAGCCACTGCACGAAGTCCTTTATAAAAAAATCTGTTCAGGTTTTTTCTGTAAAACAAAAAGGTACGTACTCAGCACAGAGTGTCTACTAAAAAGTACCAGTACGCACCACCAAAAGTGCAGCTACTGTGTACTGTTGCGTACGATATAATTAGTAAAGTGTTTTTTCCCTGTTTAAAAATATTAGGAAATACAAAGTGAACAGAATGTTAAGCATTAACAAAAATATATAAACTCTGTTTAAAAACAACTGATAAGGTACAGAAAAAGAAAGATGCAGTGCATACAAATATATTATATCTTTTGAAATAATGAGCAATATTCAGAATTGAAGTCACAGTTCATGCAGCTTGAACAGAACAAAAATCTGAAGAAACAGAAACAATGTCAATAAGAAATAATGTTTCCAAACAAATCAACTGCTATTTTTACTGTTGAAGTAACACTGGAGGAACAGTTTCCTCGACTGGCAGCACTGGCCATTATTATTTCGTATGAGTGGATAATGTCTTTAATGTCATCATTCCATAAACTCCTTGATCCCTGTTTTGCACTTTTAACAAAAATAATAAATTTATGTAAAATATACGAAACAAAGTACATTATAATATCATACAAGTAACAATGACAATTTATATTAGAAACATATAACAACAAAATTTCTTTTAAGCACTCTAGACATAAAATGTCACATATATGATGCTGTAACAATAAGGCCAATACATTTAACAGTAAAAACATTACTGATTTATGTACCTCGTAAAGACGTACTAAATGCATTCATATTCCAATACTGTTATCTTAAAACATGTAACCATTTTACTCTTTACAGTTCAGTGTATATTTACAAAAACATCAACAAGTACATGTTCACAACATTACCAATGAGTATGAAAGCAGGGAGCAACTTAACTACACGAAACAAAGCTGACAGCCGGAAAAACAATCAGTTTGGATAGTTAAGTCATTCACTGGCAAATCAGCCAATCAATCAAAATCCATTTGGTTGGCTGCAAAGAATCTACAACACAGTCTCGTTCACCTTGGTTATACATTCTAACACATGGCTGTTCCTCTATCTCGTACTGTTGTCTTCCAACTTGTATACATGTCTACATCTCATCTTGCTTGTATGCCTTTAACAATTTTTTCCCCAAGTATGATTTTAATATAAATGCAGATTTGATAAGGAGAACTCACTAGGGACCAAAAAAAAAAATCGTTCCTCTTATCATAAATTTCTCTTATCTGGCTAAGAATTCAAGACAGAAAAATTGCTGGGAACAAACAAATTGTTCTTCAGAAAAGAAATGAGCCATATCTGAGATTGTCTTAAGCGGTCTCTTCTGATGTAGCCAAAATATTTCAGTTGTTGATTTCTGTCATCAGCTCTTTTATCACTACACATTAAGGCACAATAATATTACCATGTGATGTAAAAATAAGCAATAAGAATACAATTAAAGTGGACACGTTGTGACTAAAGACAAATCAATTCAAATCCTTCATACGTCAACCAATGGCAGAACGCTAAGATTTCTCGAAGCTTCCGTGATTTATCACCTGCGCCCGGAACTCTGTATTCAGAAAGAGATGGTTCTGTCTTTTCGGCTGCCCTGGTAAAAACAGGCAGTCATGTTTGATCATTGTTGAAACTGTACTTCAGTTATAAAGAGAATTAGCGCAACAACTCTACAAACACAGATAAAAAGAGAAATAGTACATCAATTCAAGAATTCAGGAGAATTAGTACATCAAGTGAAGAAATAACAAGAAATAGTATGGTATAACAACTGTAGAAATAAGAAAACTGGTACATCAACTCAAAAAATGAGGAAAATTAGTATATCAACTCAAGAAATGAGAATTAGTATATCAACTCAAGAAGTGAAGAGAATTAGTATATAAACTCAAGAAATGAAGAGAATTAGTATATAAACTCAAGAAATGAAGAGAATTAGTATATCAACTCAAGAAATTAGGATAATTAGTGTAACTGGAAAGAAAATTGGTCTTTCTTCTTCTTCTTTCCTCTACACATGTAATGCCTCGCAGCATCAGAAATCCCTGGAACGGGCCTAGTAAACAACCTAAGAAAAAGATAATTACGAAATAAAGAGATTTGGTATACCAGCGCAAAGGGGGGGGGGGGGGGGGGGGGGATTAGAACATCAATATAGAGAATTGCTGTGCACAACTCTAATCTACATCACAGTGACTGTGCTTGAAAGTAACACAATATATACAAATATCTGGACGTCAGACTGTTCTTGTTTAAATTAGGCAAAGTCTATACAAACAAATTAAATTATTATTCAATATATGAAAACATAACTGATAATCCTCTAGTCTAGAGTATTATAGATAAACTCTTAAGCAAATGACAACAATTGCTATAGTCTACCCCACACCCAAAAAAAGGAAAGAAGAAAGTAGCTGTGAAAAAATCATTAAGAGAATGCCTGCAACCCTGCTCTAATCCACACCAGGGCAAGTGAACTCCATGGCAACGGGTATATGGTCTGTCAGAGACGCCAGCTGTGTCACAAAATGAAAAGCTTCCACATTCTGAGGAAGAAATGCAAGTATTGTATCATAAGAACAGTTTAGCATAACCCTTTCACTCCATGGTTGCTATAAAAAAAGTGAAAAAAAAAAGCCACGAAACAGTGAAAATTCCCATAAAAATCATCATCATCATGTGCCCTGCCAACTGGCGTAGGCGCTCATGCATCTACACAGATCACAATTCCTGGTTGCCTGGAACAGCCCTCTTTGTAATATCCCTCCATGCCATCGTTTCAGTCCATCCAGCATCATCTCTCCTGGTCTGCCTCTACCCCCTTTTTCCACTGATCTGTCCAGTTGTCACGATGTTCTCCAATGTCTCTCTTCTCATTCATTACATGGCAAAGAACAGTGTCCGTCTCCTTCTTATTGTTGTATATAGAGATCTATTTTCTTTAGCTTCTTTCATTGTTAGTTACTCTGTCCAAGATCAGAATAAAAAGAATTCCTAAAAAAAAATCATTTTGTGCAGGTCACTAAATTTGTGAGAACAAACAAAACAACCCCACTATGTGTCTGGTGACTTTTACAGCTACCTTATAACCTTATAAGATTAATGGGATCATATGACATCAACCTGGCTTTGAAAAAAGCCATTGAGGTCACAAAGAAATGTCCTAAATGCTATTTTTAGTGACTATATTCATATTCTCACCTATTAAGCGCAATACAGACGCATGCAGAACCAATGGAATTTAACTAAACTTTTTGAGAACATGTCACCGCAGTACAGGTCAAAATAATGACATTTATGGGTCCGTGTCACTAGATTTAGTCTTCTCAGGGCAGAGCTCTAAAACATAAGCAAACTCAGCTTTCGTAATGTTATCCACCGCTGAAGAGTCATTTCTAGCGGAACAGAGACGGTTAATTACAACAATCAACATCACGTGACCACATGTGGTATTAAAGACCCTTTTCCTGGCCTTCAGGCATGTTGGGCATATAGGGCTAGACCTATATTTTATAGACCAGTCAGCACTTGGTGGGCGATGTGGTCAACATCATGCCAACTGCCTTTACTTCCCAGGATTTGACCTGGTACCCATTTAAAGCTGGGTCGACATGGGAGCCAAGGTCATTAAAAACCAGGGAACCAGATCTCCAGGGCCCGCTGAGAAGATAACATCCGACAGTCCCTAACTGACAGAGGTCTGTAATGATGCAAATCCAGAAAAAAAAAAGAACAACAACAACAAAACTGCTGATAGAGAAGTCGGACAACTCTCTGGCAAACCTCTACACCCCGAGGTAGAAGAGGAGCGAATAAGTAAGTAAGTAATTAAGTCGATCTTATTGTATTTAAATTTATAAACAAACTTCAGAAACACTTAGAATAAAAGTACACAAAGAACTCACCACAGGATGCGACTTATGATAAATAATGTAGTCAATCCTCCTGCGACCACCCTCAGGAAACAGGACCACATTATTCTGGTCATCCCTTCTGATATGTCCAAATGCCAAAGCCTCCTTGGTGTGCTCCATGATGTCTCCATCAATGATGTGGCACTGCCGCAGGGCTGGGTCTTCCAAGGCAGACTTTAGTCCATCGGGCGAGGTGACCAGACTGTCAAACATATGGTCCTGTCTCATCTCTGTGCCTGTAGATGATGTACACAAGTCAACACTGTTTCAAATAGCATCTGTTTGCTGTTCCTCCTGGGAATGCTGATGATAGGGGTGAAGACAATGAAGAAAACTCTTTCAGTCCTGACAATCATACTGTAGCCTCTTTTATTTAAAGGAGCTGAGGTTAAATTAATACCCATGTCTGAAGGAGTTCAACAAAGACGTTACCTGACAGAATAAGTTAAACCAATAATTCAGACATAAGAAGTTTTTATAAGACATACACGTGATCAAAGACAGCAAGAACATCTTATTATTAGGGCTGTACCGAATAGGGATTTTCACTATTCGGCCGAATAGAAATACGAAAACGAATAGGGTATCATCATCATCAACTGGCCTTGCCACAATTTGCGATCTCCTGCAGCATGTATCAGTTCATGTGCCGACACACCTCCATGCCATGCAACAAGACTGTCAAGAATCTTCTCTCGTTATCTTCCTCTATCCCTCCTTGCACAGATCTTTCCAGTGGTCACCACATGTTCCATTTTCCCTCTTCTCATAACATGGCTGAAAAATAATGACTGTCTCCTTCTGACATCTGTGATTAGTTGTCTTCGGGCTCCCACCTCTGTCAAAACCTCTTGGTTGCTTTTTTGTGTGGCTGTCCAAGGTATTTTAAGCATTGTTCTGTAAAACCATATCTCTGAAGCCTCGAGAAATTGTTGGCCTGCCTACCGATTGTCCAGGACTCACAGCCACGTGTTAAAACGGGATGCTGTACCACGCAACCAGGTCGCAGCTGCCCCTGCTACGACAGACTTAGGCAACAACAACTATTGTGTAAATGAGAGTTATTTCAGTCTATTGCAGTGTATGCAGAAACGGGTGTAAGGTAACCACTATTCGTATTCGGCCCCACCGCAAGTATTAGGCAGAACATGGAATTGTTATTAGGTCCACTATTTGGCCCCGAAGAGAATACGAAGCGAACATTCAGTACAGCCCTACTTATTATCTGTGGGTAGACCAAGAAACAGAGTTAGGGATGAAGTGTGTAAGATGAGCACAAAAATTATGTAGAAACAGTTGAAAACTACTGTTCTAGAGCACTCAGTTTCATATACATCTATTCTAACATAAGTCATAGTGGGAAACAACAACATTCAATGGACACCTGAAATTTGTCTTATATGATTTCTCCTGTTGTCAGACCTTTATTCTACATTGTGGATTATTTTGGAGAACAAAGAATTGTAACAGGCTACCAGGAATTTAGTAAGAGGTGATTAAAGTTAAGGCTGGGCTTAAGAGTTGCCTACTTTATCCTGCAAAAATATTAGCCACAAAAACCAACCAAGCATGGAAAAGTCAAAAAGAGAAGAATTAGACCCACTGCCTTCCTAACAGGCATGTCATAGGAGAAGACTAATTAGGTGCATGGATCAAAGTGTATCTGCCTGAGAGGCAAGCAACCAGAAGTCTGCATACAAATTCTTGTTCTGGATCAAGACTAAAGTCCAGGAACGGACGAATAACCAGAACTTTCTGCCGGAGTTTACAGGCTGTGAGCACTGAGAAGAAGAATATTAAATTAAGAAATGACATCCCCGCACTTGGGACACTCCTAAAAGTGCTCCGTACCCATCTTCAGCAGCATATGGAGAGTTCCAATTCTGATGGTACCAGTAACTGTCTGACTGTACATCCGTCTCACCTTTCCCTTGAGTGTTGAGTGTCGGCCAGATCCTCTGAAACTCCCTGCAGTGCCATTCTTCTCAGGCCGTATTGATTTATTTGTGCCTCCCTAATGTTCACTCTCTCCCAAGGGGCCCTAACAACATCTAGCTTGTTGTATATCAATTGACCACCAAGTGGTGCAGAACCGGCTAGAAAAAAATATCTGAATTCTGTCTGGTCTCAGTGTGGGTTCTCTGGGCACCAGAATAAACCCACGGCCTCCCCAGCAAGCACATTGTAGGAGTCGACTCACTAGGTTCTCCTGGACTTTGCTCCTTCGAAGTCAGAATGCCTCGGCCTAAGCAGCAAAGAAGAAGCGGCAAGAAACAACCAACTGCACACAAAATAAGCCAGTAAAACAGATGTACAGGCAAAACTCAGGCCCCGGCACAAAGCAAAACTCCAAATGGATGAACAATCAGGACTTTTTGGGAAAGTCATGATGCTCCACAGTTGTTGGTGGCAAAGTCGCTGCAATAAATCAGTGAAGCTTCAAGTGTAACTGCTGACAAAGGAGAACATGATCACCTACCTACAGTCCATGGTTTATCACAGCCTGGACTGAGTCTGCATACATCAACATATTCATTGAATAATCTGTGTCTTGTACTCTCTGCATCCGCTAAAGAGTTAAACAGAAGATAAAAGTTAAATATAAAACAAGAGTTACACACGAAATATGAATTAAACATAAGGTAAACATAAAACATGAGTTAAACACAAAATAGGAACAAAACATGAGTTAAACATCAAATATCAATTAAACTGAGGTAAACAGGAAATATTAAGCAAACAAGTCAACAATTTTCTTGTGAATGTTCTATTTGTATCTGTAGCTTTCACCTATTTGTTCTATTTTTAGAGAATTACATTCAATTAGGGAGCTGAAGATGTGTAACAGCTAGATACTAGCCTGCAGATATGAAGACCATAGGTTCAAATTCAAACAGAAGTTAATCGATCTTAGTGGCACTACAAAGCTCAGGTATGCACTCATTGTTTCCAGACTCACTTACTTAAGTACTTTTGGTCTGTCTGTCTGTCAGCCTACTGTCTTCTCTTAAGATTTCTCTAAGCAGGCAGAAGGTAAAAGACCAAGTGACAATTAATGAACAAGTTCAACACTGGAATAAACTAACAATGCAATGGGAAAAGTTGTATAAACTAATGAAAATGCACCAAGTGAAAGCAGAAGTCTATTAGCAGGTTACAGATCAAGGCTGCCGTTCAGTGTCAGATCAGAAACAAATTAATTAGAGAATTACTAACCCTAAAGTAAATTTACCATGTGCCACTAAAATTAAATTGATCAGTAAAAGCTTATATATATTTTATTTACCTCACTCTTAACAGGCGATTGCTAAAAGTGACTGAAGCTGTATCAATAAAACTCTACTCTCCTATATTATGTAAACAGAAAGATCCCATGATCAATTTGAAGTTACCATGGCAGTCACGAGACTGATTTTGAATTTCCGGCTATAGATGTATAGCAGCCTGGCAATGTGTTTTATGCATTTCAGCAAAACAAGAATTCATTCTATGTTTCATTGTATGTTGCTTTAACTCCGTAGTAATGCACCTGATGCACTTCTGGTCAAAATGGACGCTAGGCATGGTCACTGTTGTGAGCTGTGGCAAATTTTTTGGCTTCTGCTAGATGGTGGCCGGTGCATTTTGCTCCATTTGTAGACTGAAAAGATAGTTTTCGTCACCCAGATTCTGAGTTGAGTGCATGGCATGACACTGTGAGCTGTGGATTTCATTTGGTATGTTTTTCTACTATGACCAACATGGTAGTGTGAACTGTAGATTCAGAAAATGACGCGATGCCTGTTGTTGCAATATTGGTGGTGCCATTATGTGATTAAAATTGATCATGTGTGCAACTGATTAAAAAAAATTCCAGACAAAATGCCAGATTTGAAGTTACCTTACCAGGTGAAAGGTTGTCAAAGTTAAAGTCTCCACAAAGCAACTCGAAAAGAATTTTATCTCCAAGTTCTGTGTTTCTCTGCACAAATTCCTTTGTCCAGTCGTAGATTTCATCCAGCTGCTTGGGAATGACTGGCTCTTTTCCTGATGGTTTAAGTAGGAAAGTTTAGATTTGAACAAATATCACCAGAGTGTCACGGTTTGTCACATACAGAAAAGCCAGCCATGAAAAAGTCTTTTATGTTGAGTGCTAAATTAAGAATTGACATCACAGCATTCAGGACAAAACCATAAAGTGCTCTGTCCTTATTCTCAGCAGCAAGCATAGAGTTCCAGTTCTGATGATACCAGTAACAGTTTCACTGTATATCTGTCTGGTCTTTCCCTGGCTATCTGTCAGCCAGATCCCTGATCACTTCTTGCAGCACCATTCTGCTCAGACTAGGAACCATTCTGCTCAGACTAGGAACCATTCTGCTCAGACTAGGAACCATTCTGCTCAGACTAGGAACCATTCTGCTCAGACTAGGAACCCTTCTGCTCAGACTAGGAACCATTCTGCTCAGACTAGGAACCATTCTGCTCAGACTATGATGATCTATTTGTGCATCTGCACTGTTCACTCTCTTCCAAAGGACCATTACAACATCTACCTTGTGATGTATCAGTTCACCACCAAGTGGTGCAGACCCAGCCAGACTATCTTCTTGTTCATGTCTCAACACACTGGCATCACCTGCAGTAAATATCTAAAGGACGCCAACTACTTAGGACCTCTGAAGCTATGCTTGCCACTCTATACGGAGTCTATACAAGGCTAAACTGAGATAAGAACCAACATCACAGCACTTGAGAAGTTCCCATAATGCATACTCCCCATCTTCAGCAGCCAGTACAGAGTTCACATTCCAGTGGTACCGGCCACAATCTGATGGAATTTTCATCTTGCCTTCTCCTGGGAGTTGAGTGTTGACCAGATCCCCTGGTCACTCCCACTGCATCACTGTCTTCAGAGCATGACAATTTATTTATATCTCCACACTGTTCACTCACTTCTAAAGGGCCTTGGCACAACAGACCCAATGCCTCCCCAACAAGCATGTTCTGGGAGTCGACTAACCGGGGAATTTCCTTTGAAGTCAGAGTGCATCTGCTAGAGCGGCAAGGAACAACCAACATGTCAGAGGCCAGTTCGGCTATGGAATGAACAGAGTTGATGATAGTGAATCATCACGTATGAACGAGCTGACCCTCAGTAATAGCTCAGTGTGAGACCAATAAACTCGACCACGGAATAAACTGGATTGAGTTAAACTGGCTCAAACCAGGGACCACGATTAACACACATCACTGCGTGTCGAGGCATGAACACAGGCGGGGAACAAAAGAGCTGAGGGAGAGCGGACTCGGAGAGTTGTGTAGTGAGACTGGATGGGGACCAGACGTAGCGCTTCGACTAAGAAAAAGTACATTAGTTTAGTGACGGTTAGTTGAATAGGATTTTTTTGTTTAGTGTCTTTGATAGGCTGTGTTTCCATTTAATGTTTCGACGAGATAGTGTAGAGTTAATGTTCCTTGTATAGTAGACATTTCATGCAGTATTTGTTTGAGCAGTTAGTGAAGGTGTGACACGCATTGTTAATGGCGGTAACACTGCCCAGTCATGCTTAGGCCATTCAGCTTACGTGTGCCGCTGAGTTCCATGTGGCAATAGACGGCGGCTTAGTTAGCACTGATAAACTGTTAGTTTGGAGTCATGTTTCTTGTAGATCCATGGGGACCGGCTTGGATTGACCAGTGAATGTAAAAGCTGCTCGACGCCAGCGGTTTCGGATATATAAAATGATTATAGTAAATTAGGTCGCTGACACAACTGCACACAAAATAGCCAGTAAAGTGGATGAACATGCAGAACTCAGGCCCTGGCACAAAGCCAAAGTCCAAATGGACAAACGACCAGGACATTCCACTGGAGCATACAGCCGGTGATCAAAGAAGAAGAATGACAAAGCAAATGCATGAAAATATTATACAGGTACACAAGTAGATTACCTTGGTAAGACTGTAAATGGGTGTTGAAAATATAACCTACACGTCTGTTGCTTGACTTAGGTCTGCCTACAATTACCTGATAACAATGGGCAAAATATTAAACATGAATTACAAAATATATTGCTTTCATTATGTGTTTAATTTTAGAAATGGTAAAAAAAAAATGCTGAATGTAAGAATCAAAATCACAGTGCTCAGGATATTCCCATAAGCGCTGTCCCCATCTTCAGCAGCAAGTGAAGCTCCAATTTCGATGGCACCAGTGTATTGACTCACCTTTCCCTTGATCGTTGAATGATGGCTAAATCTCCTTGGTATTTCCTTGCAGCGCCACTCTCCTCAGACTGTGATACTTTTTTTGTGTGCCTCCAAATGACTCTTACAATATCTAGCTTGTCGTGCATCAATTCACCACAAAGTGATACAGAACCAGCCACTCTTGTTTATCTGTTTGTTTCCCAACACACCGGCATAACCTGAAGAAAATATCCAAAGGACGCCAACTACCCAGGACCTCTGCATGCTCGTCTCCACCTTGCAATTACAACATATGCACAGCTGGTTCTCAAGCCTATGGAAAGCTGCAGTGACTGCCTCCACCTCCATTCTCAAACTAGATGTTGTAGTATCATATATACCAGTCTTTGCTGAATGAGGCAATGCTCATTAGCTTTTTCTATGAACCCCCATGCACTTCGTTTACCCCTCAACACAGAGCCATCTGTTTAAATAATCACATCATCTGGGCGGGAATTGTCATGAATCATAAAACAAAATGGCTAAGTGACTGAACTTACATCACTACACTTGAGTCATCCCCATGAATGCTCAGTCTCCTTCCTCAGATTCCAAGGAAGAATTCTCAGGCCAACAGAGCCGGTTGAAAACTGTTAACAAATATCTGCCTGTTTCCTTTTGATGCTGAATATCGACAACAATTACATGGATAACTGATCTGTCTTTGTGGTTAAACCAGTTTGGGTTTGTATTTGTGGACTATCTAATTTAGTTCAAGAGTGCAATCTTTACTGGAATCCCTGGGGATGATGACTGGAACTATAGAGTCTGTGCTATGTGGGGTAGCTCGGCAGCTAGCCAAACCCCCTGTAGAGAAAGATAAGCCATATGGGATGTAATATAGTGATGTAACTGATCCTCTAGATCAGCGAGTCTCAATCTTGCCCATTACGACCCTTTTTTTTGGGTCAAACGACCAATTCGCATGGGTTGCTTAAGACCATCCGAAAACACATATTCATTGAAGCTATGAAGGAAGATAATTGTTTATGGGTCGCCACAACATAAGGGAAGTGTATTAAAGGGTCCCGCATTAGGAAGGGTGAGAGCCACTGTTCTAGGTTTTAAACTTTCCATCTGGCTTGTTCGAACAGTCTCTATTGCTGTTGATTTTGGAACAAATTTTTCTAAAATTTATACTGATATGAAAATGATTTGTTATGCAACATAAAAAAGTAATAAACTACATATATTTGTGTGTATATATATATATATATATATATATATATATTGGAAAAATAAAACAAAATAAAATTAAAAACACACACAAAAGATGGATGTATGGCAGAAGTAAGACAAAAATATTATGCTGTGCCAGCAGTTCTCAAACATTTTTCGCCGTGGCACCCTTGGTGGGCAAAAACCATTTTCCCGCAGCACACCCACCCTTAAAGCGGTTTGAATACTTAGGCAAAGAAGAAAAACACTTCACATTTAATATTAAATATTGAGAATGCATTGAAGCCTTGCTAATAGCATTGTCATCTGAATACACTTGCATCCAGAATCCTTCACAGTATTCCTGTCTTAAACTGCTGTCTTCGTTGATCTCAATCAGATTTAGAAAAAATTCCTGGTTATTGCCACAGCACCCCAGGCACATGCGGCACCCAGCTTGAGAACCACTGGTGTATGCGACATGTCACAGAACGTTCTAGAAGTCTATTTGTTGATAGTAAAGTGAAGGACCCTTTTCCCAGACTTTTCAGGCATACTAGGCATATAAGCAAGACCTATATTTTATAGGCCAATTGGAACTTTGTGGGTGATGTAGTACACTTCCTGCCAGCCATCTTTACTTCCCCCAGCTGCATCTGGTACCCATTCAAAGCTGGGTGAAAGTCATTTGCTAAAAAAGTTCAGCTCCGTTGGGACCCAAACCCCTACCCTTCCAATCAGCAGGCAAGCATCCAGCCGCTACACCACGGTGCCCCCTATTTATTGAATAAACAATACAAATTTGTATACATAAGCGATAACAATAAAGCTATGTTTTAAAAACATTGGGAAGTTTGAAAAATGATAAAATGGTCTCATAACAGCGAAGAAAAAGATTCCAACAGCACCTACACAAGAACATGAAAGACATTGATGTACTGTGAATTTGCCTTGAAAAAAAAAGTGTCAGCAGAAACTTCTGGAATGACCTTTGCACTAACCTAGAGTATCAAAGAGTAGGGTACCTTTACCTTAGCAACACATTGGGCTTTAAATGGCCGAATACATAGTTCAAAGACATGTGGATGTGGAAGTCAAGGGGAAACTACCACATTATTTATAGCACACAACTCAAAATGCAAGAAGCAGAGAATCTGTGGAAAGGTACAGAATATTTTTGGTGATTCCTTTGAAGACAGAGTGCATCTGCCTAAGAAGTAAGGAACCAACAGTCTGCATGCAAGTAAGTCAGATCTGTAAAAAGGATGTGCATGCAACTCTCAGGTTCTAGAACAAGTCCAGAGGTGGACAAACAACCAGAACTTTCCGCTACAGTTTACAGCAGGTGAATGCGAAGAAGAAGAAGAAGATTTCCAGTGAACTGAGATAACGTGCAGTTTATCTGTAAAAAAAATGGAGTTTTGAAAAGTACAAGACGTGATGATGAGGACAAAAACAGTTATAAAAACACTTACAGCAAAAGTTTTATTTAAAAAAAAAACAACTCAGCAAATCATACCTTCACCATCAAAAGTCCTAAAGAGAGAATCTTTCCATGTTTAATGAAATTGTTATAGGGCTTAAAGTTGACAGCTGCAATAGGATGTTTGCTTGCCAAGAGCAGACCACTGTTAAGGACAAAGTTATTGTTCCTGAATGAGTGAACTCCCACATCGTGAACAATATAAGGGAACATCTTGTGCAGCCTGTCTATAAGTAACTTGTTGTGGTAACTGGACCATGCTTCTTGAATTACCATAAAATCAAGGAGCGGAAATGATGTTGTCACATCTCCTATAACTTCTACTGGATCAGCAGGCGGAATGTTTGAACTCCTCACACCTTTTTCTTTGGAATATGTTCTTTCAGATAAACTGTCACAATTCTGATGCTTCTTTCGCCACCACAGTTCCATTTTACTCCAACTGTCATTAAAAAACTGGCTAACTGTTATTCTATCTCCTATCTTTTCGGCTCTTCCATCAACATTAATGAGGTTATTCATTTTCGAGGCTAATTCTGGCATTAGGCACAAATTTGCAGACGCAATGCCAAACCTGTAATCTCCCCTTGTCAGGACATCACGGATAATCTCAGCTTGCCTCTTGGTAAAAGATGTATGTTTCTCTGAATACAAAAATGGCTGCCTGTAGTTTACCAGAAAACACCGAATTGGCAAGAAAACAAGCAGCAGTGGAAGACACAGGATAAATAATGTTACATACACTGGAGTTAGTAGAAGCTTTTTAAGCAGAACTTTAACTGGGTGTCTGGCTTCATCCAGTGTTGAAATATAAAGACACAGGAGCCAGTTGAATGTTACATAGCTTGGATACAGCATGGCTCTGACGAATGTTAATGAATAAATAGAAAGCAATGATCCGAATAAATAAGACATGGTGTCTGCCGAAGGCTTATATCACTTAATCCTTTTTCAGTTTCAAACTGATATCTATATTTCAGTTTCTGCTTGAAATTGATGTTTTTTTTTTTTCTATTTCAATTTCTAAATTTCACACAGATGTCTTGTTTGTTTCAGCCTCAGTTTCTCAGTCTTAAACTGATTTTTTCTCTTTTCCATTTATCTCAGTCTCTATCAAACTGATATCTTGTTTTCCCCGACTGAAACTGATGCTTGAAACTGTCAGCTGCAAATACAGTAGACATAAATATGGATAAATATTTATTATTATATTTTGCATTAAGCTGGTATATTATTATTTATGAAATAATATATAATATTAGCACACACAAAAATTGTAAAGAAGCAAAAAGTAAAAAGTAAAGAAGACAAAAAGTAAACAAGGTTAAAAGCAAAAATTAAATATACTAGATGGTTATATAAATGAATGAATCAAGAACTGACATCACTCGGCACATTCCCACATGTGCTCTGTCCCCTTCTTCAGTAACCAACAAAGAGTTGACATGCTAGTAGTACCAGTTGCAACCTCATTAAAAGTCCACCTGTGTTTCTCCTTCGATACTGAATATCTTTCAGAACCTCTACTCACCCCCACTGAATCAGTATTTCAGTGAATGGATCCCCTATCTGTTCTTTTGCACTGTCCATTTGATCCAATAAAGCCTTCACCATATATGCTTCATTACTCAAGCCCAGAGTAGCAGTAGCTAATCTATCAGCCTGCTCATTACCTCGCACACCTGAATATCCTAGACAGAAAATCCATGATGTGCTCTTGATGTGGGTCTTATCAAGTGGTGCCAGCCACTCTGCATGCAGGACACCAGTTTCAACTTTCCCTTACATGCTATGTTGGGCCGTGCTTCATCAGAAAGCTGGCGTTACTACCTCCACCTCCATTCTAGTACTAGATGTAGTGACGTTGTTCGCAAGGCTCTCTGTTTTCAAACAGTGTATTTTCACCTTTTCCATAAAACTCCACCTACTCTTCTTACCTCTCACCACATACCCATCTGTAAATATTATGATGTCACCTAGGCACGAATTTTTACTGATCAGTTCTTGCAATGCTGACTCTGTTTCACGAGCTATCCATTGCCAGCACCACTGGTCCAAGATAACTGTCTGTTTCACTGGGTGACACTATCAATTATTCTTCATCAGGTGCTGTCTTGTCAGTAGCACAAACAGTTCTGATCATGACTTCTGCTTGTGCTTTTCAAGTGCTACCTCTTTTCAGCCCTTGTCCCTTGCTACCCCCCAAGGCCTCAAGCAGAAATCGTTCCCTGTCTGTTGCGACTTTAAGGTAAATTTTCAAATGTAATACACAATATAGCAGATGTAACATGGAGACCTTTAGCAATAGTAAAATAAGAAAAGGGTACATTCAACACTATCAAACAAATGTAAAAGTATAGTAAAGGACCCTTGTCTACACCTTAAGGTATAGTAAGCATACAGTATTAGACCTACATTTTATAGAACTGGGGCGCTCAGTAATTCTCCTAAAAATTATCACAGAAGTTGAAAATATGACTCAGCACTTGATAGATGTGGCAATGAGGTGACTAGATGTTTGCCTACCAGCCTGAAAGGTTCACATCCATACCAAGATGGATACTTAAAAAACAATGACCTTCAATCCTAAGTCGATGTAGCCTAAAATGGGTACCAGGTAATGTCCTGGGAAGTAAAGGTGACTGACAAGATGTTGACATCACGTGCCGATCAGTCTATAAAACAGAAATAGGACTGGCACTCGATGCCTGATAGGCCAAATGCATGAAAAGGGACATTTACTTTACTAGGTACAACAATGACAAGGAAACAAACATAGTTCTTTGGTCATGTGACGAGAAAAGGAGCAATGGAAATTATTGTGATGACTGGAAAGTTCACTGGTCAAAGAGGCAGAGGCAGACCAAGAGAAACGAAGGTACATGGCTTAGGACAGTGGCATGGAGGAATGTCTACAGTGGAATTGATCCAGAAAACTAAAGACCGAGAACTGTGGAGATGCATAAACGCTTATGCCGGATGGCAAGGCCTTGATAGAGGACTAAATCTAGTCACTTCAAGTTTTTACAGTCCCGTAAAGGCGACAAATTGTCATGTCTGCAGTGACCTTTTCTTAAAAAAAGAGTAGTTAAATTCAGTTGCTTCTATGTGTGTCTCAACAGTGATTAATAGGTCAAAATAGATGAATTGAACAGTAACTGTTTTTAGTCGTGGCAAATGTATGCTCCTGACAGATGGTGGCCGTTGCATTTTCCTCCTATTGTGGACTGGCAGTATATAGTTTTGCCACCCAGTCACTGAGATAAGTGCATTGTGCAACAGATTTCATTTGGAATGTTTTTTTACTGTGACCAATGTGGTGTTGTGAACTGTAGATTCAGAAAGAAGCACGTGTTCTGTTGCCACAGAACTGGTGGTGCTTTTTTTTGATTAAAATGGAGCGCATGTGCAACTGCTGATCTATTTGTAACCTCTGCTTTCGTCGATGATGAATTTCTAATGTTGGACTGTTTGTGTCAGCACTTCTGATAGCTGCATTATGCTTTTAATGCATGAGTAAGCTAGTGGATATGCTTAGACAGCAGGCTGTCAATCTTTCCACAAGAGATTGTGATTGACATAGTGTGTTTTTGGTTGGCACAAGAACAAAGCAGCTATGAGGTGACCCATTTGCCATGAAGCTGAAACTAAGATTACAAAGACTACAGAACAGGATATGAATACAGTAACAAAAAAATAAAACTTAGGAGAGTTTCTCTATAACCCCAATGGCTTCTTTACAGCTAAGCTGATGTCAAACTTCCCCTTAAGATGCAGTGACAGATGTCACAAAGTCACGACATGAGACACCCATTCATAGTTTTTTTACTCTCTGGTAAAAGTACGCCCAGATGACAGGAGAGCATGGCATATGACACCACCACATCCAGCATGAGAATGAAGGTAGAGGAGATAACTACTGCATTCCTGTGTGGAGAAAATCTCAGGCACACATGTTGTCATGGTATCGGATTTACAGAACTTCTTCAGGAAGGCAGAATCACGTTTTCTTTGTATGGAATGGGTTGCATAAATTCAGAGGTCGCAGATTTAGAGTCACATAGATATTTTGTGAATGAACTGCCAGATAGGTTAGGTGTAACTGGAAGAAAGCAGTGGTTATCTGGCACCTGTGGGATGAGGTCAAAAGTAACATACTGAACACCTGTTAAAATTTAATTCAATGATTATTCTCATTGCACATCAGACAAGTCCATGAGCGCTCGGATCCCATCTTCAGCATATAAGCACCTGTAAGGAGAGAATCATGCAGCAGGGAGCGCCTATGAGCACCACTCTGGACTCGAGGGAACAGCAAGATGAGTGGTTAACCAGACGACATTGGGGATCATTTTTCGCTGGCTGCTGACACGAAAAGCAAAGGCGTGGTGGTGTAAGCCACTTACACTGTAAGTGGCTAATAATATAGGTGTTCCCGAATGCTGGAAGGACGAATCTCTACCCAGATTAAGCCAACATTCGCACGGTGACTTGCCTGGTAATAAATGCGTTAATCGCCCAACAAGCACTGCGAGGGAAAACCAACAGATTCAGGACATCATTCAGGAAACGATGACCGAGAGAAACCCTAAGACGAACGTTGAGGCTAGGGCTACGTTGAAGCAAAAAGTGCTGGAATGGGTTATGATTTATCAATATCGAATAAATTCTGGGGGATATAATATAATACATGACCAGACTGCGAGCATTATGTGACACACAATGACACATCAGGATGATGACGAGGGCGATGTCTTAAATTAAATAAAGCAATTTATAAAATTTCACAAACTTGACTGGAGGGGTTTTGTTTACTCAAATAATTGTTTTGTTTTGTTAAAAAATCGGTTGGACATTTTAGCAATAAACAATATACAAAGATTATTTAAAAGTGTAACCGGAACAGAAAGTAAACAAACCTGAAAACAAAACGAAGTTGTCAAGTTATGTCTCGCACATCTAAAACCAGGATATCAACTGTCGTCGAATTAAGAAAATCAAAAAATACTGATTGGAACATACAGTTTACTAAAGCAATTGCTTTGTTGCAATGATAACAATAAATGTGTATTAGCTAACTTTATAAAGATAATACAAAAGCATAAGCGGAACAGAAAGTAAACAAACCTGAAAACGAATCCAAGAGGTTGTCGAGTTTTGTCCTAAACAACTGCAACTAGACCCGCTATTATCGCCAGTGAGAATGTGGTTGCTGGTATCTGTATCGAACAACGGTAGGCATTCTTAAGGCCTACTTTAGATACTCCATGATGAATTGTTGACTTTAGTGGATAAGTCTTGGAATCTGCATTATCAACGAGTCTCTCAGCACTCTGCAGGGCAGTGAAAGCTGCAAACGGCCTATCATGCTCTGTTTCGAGCTTCCTTTTTTTCCTTTCGATTGTGGGTATAGACTGAGCTGATCTTGTCCCCATTAAAAAAATATATCTGTTTTTATGGATATCATTCTGATATTAGCATATATTTTTTATGTGTTTTTGTTTTGTCATGCTTTGTTGGGCATTTAGAAGATTAACCTCACATCATGAAAAATGGTATCCATTCCAGGCTTCATCCGCAATATTTAGGTTTAGAATGAACTCTTGACCCTGAGGATGTAGGGTCACATGGCTAGTGCCGATGCCATAAATTGTGCGGGCTAGGATGATTATCTTTGCCCCTAAAAAAAAAAATTCATCACCTTTCCATGGATTCATACCTGGGTCTACAGCATAAGATATCAGTGAGCTAACAATTCAGAATGTTGCTAGCACCTTCAAATGAAAACAGCAAATTGAATAAAGTTTTAAAGGATTTGCAAATGTTTCTGCAACCTCTGCAGAAATCTTCACCTTAGAGACAATTTCTGTGTATTTTAATGTTTGAATTTATAGTCAAGAATTTATCAGCTCCTA